GCTCTCCTGGGGCTGGGAGACAAAGGAAGGCAATACCCTGGCCCTGTCCACCCAACCCTGCCTCCCCTGCCACTCTCTCCATTTGGGATCTTTCTTGATTAAATCTGTGGCGGTTTGTCAGTCTGCAGTAGGAGACAGGCTTGGTGTGTGTCTAATTGGGATGCTAGTAACATGTGTTGTACTTGATTCTTGGGGTCATGTTTCAGACTGTTAATTCCAGTCTCTATGGGTAGTAAAGAGGCCTCAATGCTTTCCTAAATCAGTGGTTGGTAAAACTAGGGCCTTGAAGGTTACCCAAGGCCATGAATTACCTAGTCCCACCACTCCCCTTCCCTTCTTTTCATTTTTATCTTTCATTTCCCTACATCCTCCCTTTTCTCTTTCTATAAAACTCTATTAACTATCACCAGATACTTTTTTTTAAGAAGGAATTGTATTTTCTGCTCAAAGGAATTAAAACTACCATTCTTGATGGCACCTGTAGTTCAGAGACTTACAGCCAAGGGATGTGGATGGGTGGGCTAGGATTGGGTTCTAACCTTGTTATCAGGGACTATTGTACACTTTCTACCGCTACAGACTTCTCATCCCTCTGTCCCTTAGAGCTGCCTCCCCAGCTCTAGTGGTGTAACACTGATGATTTTGTTTCCAAGCTTGATGTGAGCTGAAGTTTGATAAAGAGCTATCCTTACAGCAGTGCCCATAGCATTGAAGATAGTATAGGGCAAAGTCAAAAATCTGTGTTTTCTTTTATAATTACAAAGTTACTTCAAAAAGTTCATGGAAAAGTGGAATTATAAGTTTATTTTGTTGCAAAAATTTTTAAAATTCATGCAAAGTTTTTCATAAGATGTACTTTCCACGAATGTTTGAAGACCCGCCACATTGTACAGCAGCTAGTTCTGTTACACTCTCCATCATAAAGCGTGGCACATCATTGTGTTGCTATTCAAGTGCTGATCATGTTTATATTAGGTCAGAATGAGACTGGTGGAGTATGGTCTATAGTATATCCTATATTGTTTGTCTCTACAAATATCACACCCACACACACAATTTGATGGACTGTTGTTAAAAATCAGCACTGATTGGCCGGCGCCATGGTTCAATAGGCTAATCCTCCACCTGTGGCACCGGCACACCGGGTTCTAGTCCCGGTCGGGGTGCTGGATTCTGTCTCGGTTGCTCCTTTTCCAGGCCAGCTCTCTGCTGTGGCCAGGGAGTGCAGTGGAGGATGGCCCAAGTGCTTGGGCCCTGCACCCGCATGGGAGACCAGGAGAAGCACCTGGCTCCTAGCTTTGGATCAGCGTGGTGTGCTGGCTGCAGCGGCCATTAGAGGGTGAACCAACGGTAAAGGAAGACCTTTCTCTCTGTCTCTCTCTCTGTCCACTCTGCCTGTCAAAAATAAAAAATCTAAAAAAAATTTTTAAAAAATCAGCACTGATAGAGTTGGGGAGCCTTTAGTAATGGTGCTATGGTTGCTCTCCTTGATATTTAAAGCAGTGAACTGACTTGACTCTTAAATTCATTATTAATAACAAATTATTAAACTTTTAGAATTTAAGTTTCATTTTAAGATTTATTCATTCATTTGAAAAGCAAAGAGAGAGGGGGAGAGAATGAGAGCATGCACTTCCATTTGCTGGTTCATTCCCAAATGGCTGCATTGGCTGGAGCTGGATCAGGCCAAAGCCAGAAGTCAAGAGCTTCTTCCCACATGGATGGTAGAGGCCAAAATATTGGGCCATCTTCTGCCATTTTCCCAGGGAACTGGATTGGAAGTGTAGCAGCTAGGACATGAATCATTGCCTATGTGGGATGCTGGCATTGCAGGTGGTAGCTTTACCCACTGGGACATGACACCAGCCCCTATAATTAAAATTTTAATGTGCTGAGTATCCCAGACAATATTTTTGTGAACAATGTGCTAGATTTTTATAGCAACTGTGTCCCAATATGAAGAATCACAACTAACAACTGAATGGTTTTTAATGACCTTTCATGATTTAATTTATACCTTTCATAATGAATGGAATTACTGGTTTCAATAAGAGTTGTTTGGGAAAAATTGAATACTTACAGTTCTTACAGTGTTCAGATTCCTCTGTTTTTATCTTTGTATTTAGCTTAAACCTTCAAAATAAAAATCATAACATAATCAAGCACAAAATTCCTCAAGTGTTCAGTATTTTCTTTCCCACATTTTACTATGCAGCTACATCAAATTGAACAATTGAAATTTAGTTATAAGCCAAGAAGTCAACAGTTAGGACTTTGGATTCACCAAAATGGTTTTCATTAAGTGAGGAACTGAAAATCACGTTCTCTACCATTATGAAAAAGATGTTGAACTTCTCAAAATTTATTCACTTAGTGTTACATAGGATTATTAACTGTAATTATCTGATTCTTCAGATTAAAAGCTGTTTAGAAGCTATCATTTAGGAAATCAAGAACAGCAAAAGATAAGAGCAATGACCTGAAAAGAGCTCTAGTCAGGCAAGAAGACTGGAAACATATGAAGACGTTACTGTCCTTTATAAGTGCAGTGCATCATGTTGTAGCTTATGAGGGAAAAATTCAGATTATGTCTGCACACTCTGCCTCCAAGGCAAAGGTGTATATGATATGTCTTAAGTCTTTTGAAATTCAACATTGTTTAATTCAAGTGAGTTTTATAACATAAAGCACTTTGCTTGGTATCCTTTGTAGAATGGAACATGTGACTCAGTCCATGTGGGTGATGTTGGGGTATGCACACATCTTCTGGGGAAGCTGAGAACTCACTTGTCTTGACCCAGTGTCTCTCAGACCCTTCTTGCCCGGATCCCTTAGTTAGGAGAGGTTTTGACTCAGAAGCCTGGTTTGTAAGACCAGGAAAGAAGGAGGGAATCTGGTATCAGTGAGAGCACAGGACTTCTGGAGCCTGCTCCGTGTCCCCTTCACGTGCTGCCAGGTGACCTCAGAACTCTGGAGAACCACACACAGAGCATGATGTGAGGCACACAGCTAGACAGCATAGCAGTTGTTGGGCAGGAAGGACGCTTTTCAGGCCTTAGTAAATCATAGTCCGTCAGTGATCGCCTGCCCTTGATAGTATTGCTTTGCTTGTCTGCAGTCCTTGGAATTACTGTTACTCTGATTAGCAACATGACTCAACTACGCCATGCATTTTCTGCCAGTGGTGTTAAAACCGTGATCTGACCAGGGTACTCCTAGCAAACAGGAGGCAATAGTCATTTGCTTATGGGTGCTCTGCTCATGAAAATTTGCAAACTAGAATTTTACTACTGGTGCTTTGACTGTTGCTGCTGCCATGATTACTACTACTATTTTATGTTTTCCTTCTTGATTTCTTTTCAAGATATTTTTCAATAGTGTAGCTAAATGCTTTAGTTTGGCTTCTGCGTTGTTAATTGCAAACCAGCTGATTGTCAGTTATTCAGTGTTCTAGACCACATTCTTTCCTCCCGAAGAGGAAAGCCAAGAGCAATTCAAGCATCAGCAAGCAGGTGCGTGAAAGCCTATCAGTGGGGAATGGTCTGCAGGTTGGTCCTGGCAGTGCTGCCGTGGCTTTGGCGCTTAGCTGATGGATGACGACATGGCTAGTCACTGGGATCAACATGGGCCCTTGCCCTCTGTGGAATGGGTAGAGCAGTCGAGGAAACAGTGGACCACAGTTTCTGGCCGCGTATGCTGTCACTTTCAAGGTGGTTGCTTGTTATTCCTCCAGTCTCCTTTGGCAGCAGCAAGACTTGGTTCCTTATCTGCCTGCCACCGTTAGCTCAAAAATTGTACCTGAGCAGATGAAGCTCCTCATAAGAAAGCCCCAAGTTGCCAGCATCTAGCCTAGCCTTTCCCACTCGGATGCTTTGACAGACGCACTGATCGACTGGCTTTGTATATGAAAGTTCTTTCAGTGCTCAAACCACAAAAATTATTCATACGGTTCTTCCTTTCAGCCTGTCCTTTGTAGAAAGGCCTGAGAATTGCAACTTAGATTCTGTGTAATGTCGGGAGTAATGGAATCTAGATTCCACACATTCATCTCTGTCCTTACAGGCCTACTTTTTTGTTAGAGAAAAGAAAAACCTTAAAAAGCTTTTTATTGTGAATTTAAACTGCCTTTCAGGGAGGCCAGATTGCATTATATTCACAAGCATGAGTGGTGGAACCAGACCGCCTGGCTCTGCTGTGCTCTGATTAGCTGATTCTGCAGATCACTGACTGCCTTCGTTTTCTCATCTGTAAAATGGGATAAGAATAGTACCTCTTTGGTAGGACTGTCAGAGTTAAGTGAATTATATCAGAGTGCAAAGTACTGTTTTCATGTTAGCTTCCCTTGCTGCTTTTGTTATTATTGTTGTTGTTTTCTTTTATAAGCTGCATGATTTGGGCAGAAACCAAAGTAGTTTAGTACATTTTTGTGCCTGCAATAGAAACCAAAAGTGATTGGCTCCTTAAAAGGTAGACTGTTTGGTAGAAGGGAAAAAATATATTTTTTAGCTAATAATTATTATTTTAATTATATTTATGGGTACTTTGTGGTAATTCAACAAGTGTATGCAATGTATAGTGAAGAATGCTTGTTTTGAACTCAGACTGAAATTTGAATATTGATCCTGTTACGTAATTACTTGGCTGAGAATTAAAAAATGATAAGATATGGAGGGGTAAGAACATTTCCATCCTTGGATTAAGAAATTTAGAAATAGAATGAAGAGCCTGGTTCAATACTGTAGGTTCAATAGTTAGTGGTGGTATCATTGTACTGTGAAAAGACAGCTCAGGCCACTTTAAGTCCTGTGGACACAGAGCTACTCAGTGAAAGACTATGAAGTGTGGCACATTATTTAATCTTTAGGATTAAGTTTCAGATTTGCTTGGTAACAGAAAGAATGGCAATGTTTACTCCATTTACGTGGACTCTCTGTAAAACCGGGGAGCTCTTGGAGAGACTGTTAATATTTCTTTCTCCTGTTTTGAATTCAATGTTATAGAAATCCGCTCTCAGGAGGAAGTGTGCTGTGTGTAAAATCGTGGTCCATACTGCCTGCATTGAGCAGCTAGAAAAGGTAAGAGCTCGCCCCCTGCTGCTGCATTTGCTGCATTGCAGGTGTTTGGTTTTCAAACATCAGATGTAAATGTTTATTTTCCAACCTTTTGAAAACAATGGCCTCTGAAAGAGCTGGAAGTCCAGTATTATTGACAGATTAATAATGGAGAGGAAATATTTAGGGGCCATTTGCTTTGTTGTTTGCTGAAGCATAATTTGTTGTCTACTTATGTTGACTCTTGGGAAAGGAATGATAAAAGCCTGATGTGTCCTGATTTTCTTCCTGTTTCATCTCTGCTTGGGCTTCATAGACAGTGATCTGCTTGTGCAGCAGGGGATGTGTGAGTGGGACTGGATGTGACACCCCGGTAGTGTCTTTCCTCCAGAATGTACTCTTAATGACTCCTTTATTTGTAATTTGGTGAAAGGAAGGTTCCAGTTAGGTAGATGTCTTCTGTGTGATTTCATGCTTCTTACTCCATTTCCATGTGTGGCTCTGTGTGCATAATCTATATTCTTGAACTGCTGTGTGTAAGTGCATTGAAATATTTCAGCCTGCCACCAGAATGATGTGGTCTCGCTGCATGTTACCAACTGTTGCCAACTGATATCTTGTGGCAATGGCTGCTAACACTTTCTCTTTTTAGTTGTTTCAGTCTCAACTGCACTACTCATCCTCTCCTTGATGCCTATCCTTCTACTTTATCTGGTAGCTAAAAAAGATGCAAATGCCCTGAGCAGGAGACCACCTCATCTAAAAAAGGCAATGCTTAGTCATTTCATAAAGAATAATTTTGCCTGTGCTTTGAATACTCATCCTAACATTAAAAATTTCTCAAGTTTATATTTTCAAATTTGAAAGTCCAAAAACAGCCAAATGGTTTCAGCTGCATAGATTTTCCCTCTGACTCTTTCTTATCTCACTTTCACAAATTTGCAGTGTAAGAGCATTGCTGTTCAAAGATATTTTCTTTTCATCAGAGAAAATGAAGGGACGTGGATTGGAGATAAAGTATAGCTTGGGGTATATGTAGATTATCTAATGTGTAGTTTCTTAGTTTTTGAGTTTTATCAGTCTCTGTCACCGTGTTTTTTTTTTTCAGGTAAATCATTCTAGTCTCCTACTTATCCCTAATATAATGTACTTTTCTTTCCAATAACAGATTAATTTTAGATGTAAACCAACATTTCGGGAAGGAGGCTCAAGGTCACCAAGAGAAGTGAGTATCTCAGACCTCTAGATAATGCCAGCTTGATTCCCCACTGATTCACTGGATTCATAGCCATTCACCAGGGATTTAAAAAGATAAATTCTGTCTCCTTCCATTCTATGTCAGCTTCTTGTGAATGCATCAATAAATGTGTTTAATGAAATCTCCACATCCCATCAGTGTGGGTGCAATGCACTTTATTCTTCTTGTGAAATGTGTGGGGAGCTGGGGTCTTACTTGAAGCAACCAGAAGGTGGGGGAAGAGATGGTGGTAGAATTGAAGGGGTGAGAATAGTCTCTTGTTGTCTTTGGTCAATTGTAGTTTCATTTTTCAGTGTTGAGTGGAGCTGGGCTACTCTGGGGCTGCAGTTGTTGGTTGCTCACATGATGCTGCAGGCAGACTGTCTGGTACCAAACTCTGCCTTTGATGTGTTGGGCTCTTGGGCACTTCATCTCTGAATCGTAGGGTTGGCATGTGCTAAATAAATAAGTGAATAAATCATAAGGTACAGTTCAATTTTGTACTGTGTGCTTGACCTATCAGTGTGGCTGTGAAGAGAAACAGGTAGATGTGAAACTGGAATGAAGAGTAGTTGCTGCCGTGTTAGTGGTGCACACAGATGTGATGGGAGAGATGACGCTGAGATGTAAGACTTTGCAGTGCTCATTTATTCAACTTTTATGCTAGGGAGACAAGCACAGTGTGGGAGGAGTTAGAGGAAGCAGGGAAGGTTCTTAGCCCTCCTGTATTATACTGGGTGGTCTAGCTCCAGGTCCACTTTTGCACTCCCCAGTCTCAAAACAACAGCCCATGTTCTCAGAACCTGTCCTCCTTAGAAAGTAGTTTTCCTGATGAGCTGTTCAGGGTTGCCAGCCAAACGTTAGTATGGCACTTTCCTTCAGAGAAAGTCAAGTGAATATAATTTTTGGTAAACATGCTCCTCCACTTATTTACATTCCCATTGAAATAACTTTCTGTTCCACTTACGCATCTATCCCTTGGAAACCTTTCCTGCTGGTGTATTCCTCACATCTGCCCTATGTAGTAATACGACAGGGAGGAAAGGAGTCAGAGAAAGGGCTTCCTGGAGCAGGGAGCTGTCGCACTGAGACCTTGCAGAGGCAGGTGTGAGTAGGAGGTGAGGAAGAGCCTTCAAGACAGAAGGAGGGGCAGCACATGAATACTAATGGGGGCAGGGAGAAGGGAGAGAGAGAGGGAGGGAGGGAGGGAGAAAAACAGAATGAGAAACACAAGAGATACACCATGGAAGTTTTATCATCAGGGGAGTTGGGAGGGAGGCATTACATTTTTTTTTTTTTTTTTTTGACAGGCAGAGTGGACAGTGAGAGAGAGAGACAGAGAGAAAGGTCTTCCTTTGCCGTTGGTTCACCCTCCAATGGCCGCTGCGGCCGGCGTGCTGCAGCCAGCGCACCGCGCTGATCTGAAGGCAGGAGCCAGGTGCTTCTCCTGGTCTCCCATGGGGTGCAGGGCCCAAGCACTTGGGCCATCCTCCACTGCAGAACCTATTACTCTTGCTGCAGTGTGGAGTGTAATTCAGGAGTAATGCTATTGAAGGCATGAAGACAATTTAAGAGTTTCTGCTAGTAATGTAGGCTGCACATAATGGTGCTGAACTAAGTAGTATTGTTGTTACATAGGAGTTTGAAGAGAACAGAGTTTATTGCATTGTGAGCACAAAGATGGAGGAGTAAAACAGGCCTGTGCTCTGGAAACCTGATCACCATGTGAAAATGAATTGGCTTGAGGATGATGTTGGGGATGTGTCGAATCTAGTTGTAGAACTATCAGTTGTGAGGTGTTCTTGTTGCCCCTATTACAGAAACCCAGTAGTAAGCTGAGTGGGGTTATGAGTTTTGAGCTTTTGAGGAAGACAGGCTGGAGGTAAGATATTTGTGAGTTGTCAGCATACATATATAGTAGTAACAAAGCTATGGGGATATAGATGCATATGTAAAATAGGAATTGAAGATGTCTAATTATGGAGAGGATCACAAACATTTTGTAGATAATTAATGATAAAAAGACACAAAAATGATCTCATTGTTCCTAATACAATAGGATTGGGAGAAAATATGGAAAGAGAATAGGTTGTGGATGGAAGTTGTAGAGAGAAGAACAGAAATTGCTGCCATTAATTTTATCTCCCACTGGGTTTGTCCAATATGGTAACAATTGGGAGGCTGTTGGTCACACATGGGGTGAGGAAAATGTGAGAAATAAGGTGGGGTTGTGGGTGCTCTCAGTGTCAACTCATAGTGCACCATAGCGTTGGTCAGCTGATAACTTAGTGGTTTCTTGTTTAGGAAAACAGAAGTGATAGTGTCCTTAAGATGGAGTTTAGGAATTTACATGCAAGGGATCAGTGTCTCCCTTCAGCTTGTTCCCTCTCTCTGTCTCTCTCTCGATGGATGGATGGATGGACAGACAGACAATAGATAGGTAAATAGATAGTAGGTAGGTAGGTAGATAGATAATAGTCACTATTATGTGTTATTCTTCTATTGCAGGTATTTTTGGTGATCATTAGCTATGACCTTTCTCTTCTCTGAAGCCAGATCCCTCTCTGCCCCACCACTAAGAGTTTGGGACACTGTCCCTTATCTTCTTTTGCAAACACTTGATATTCCTTCCTTTTTTCCATTTTCAGCTGCCCCAACCCACACACAATTAACTTCAGCATAAACGTGCTCTAATAGCTTCCATCTTCACCACCAACTGTGTCTTCACTGCTGCTCTGATTCTTGTTTTGTGTTCACTGCCAAGTTTCCAGAAAGTGTTATCTGTTTAATTTATTTTTAGTATGCCATCTTCTAGTCATATTAACCTGTTCTGATCTGGTTTCTACTCTCCCTATTTCCTGAAATTGCCTCTTTGATAGTGCCAGTGATCTCCCTCATGCTAAATTCATGAAATATTTTTCTGTTCCTGCCTTAGTCTCTCAAGAATGTTCACAGCATCACATAGTCCATTCTTCTGGAATTTCTTTCCTTTCTTGACTTCTTTTTTTTGAATTTTCAAAATTTGGTATAAGATTTAACAATTTTTAACATTTTACCATGCTCACTTCATAGGTAGATATTATGTGTATATACACACTACTTTTTCTTGGAAATACAGGTATTAATATGAAACAGTGTAGGTTTCAGTGCAATGATTATTAACTGAGGAATAAGGGGTATATTTTCTCTTTGCTCATGGCATCACTCTGTCCTAACTTCCCTCTTTGTTCCTTGGTTAAAGCTTCCTTCTCTCTCATTGTTTACTCCTCCTGATCTCTGCACACCCATCTGAATTTGGTACTTGTCCCTGTTCTCTTATCTCTGCTTAATCCTATCAGAAGAGCATATCCAATTTCATGGTTTTGAATGCTGCATTTGGGCTGAGAACTCCTAATGTTAGCGTTTCTAGTCTATACTTCTTGGAGTCTCATTTGACATGCCCTTTGAAGGTATCGCGTCATCTTGGGTATAAAACAGCAAGAACCAAACTCTTTAATTCCATCATCAAAAATAAGAAGTATTTTTACAATTTTTTTACACCTCATAAAATGAGATGGCTGTTCATCTAGCTCTTCAATAAAGAAAACTGGTGGGTCATATTGATTCCTTCTCGTGTGCTTTCTACATTTAATGCATCTGATGTATTTGCCACTCCCAACAGTTTTATTCATAAGTTACACTCATACTTCAAATCCATCCATCCATCTCCATTTCTGTTGTCAGCATGGAAGGAATTGTGATCTCTGACCACCACAGTAGCTTCTTCCTGATTCTTTTCTCCTTCAATCCACCTGTGATTTTAAAAAGTAGTCTTTTAAAATGAAAATAAGATTATGTCCTTTCTCAGCTTAAAACTGCTTAAAGGTTTCCATAGCATTAGAGCCAAATCGCATCCTTTGTCTTGGCAAGAAAAGGCCCAGGTGTTCTGGCCTCTGCCTACGTCTCCAGCCCCGTGCAGCTGCATCATGGACTTTCCTTCCGTCTGTGTGACACACACCAAGATAGCTATCATCTTTGGATATCGGCATATCTCATTCCTATTTGGAATACCTCTTTGCATTACTATTCCATTTTTTTAAAAAAAGATTTATTTATGTATTTGAAAGAGTTACACAGAGAGAGGAGAGGCAGAGAGAGGGAGAGAGATAGGTCTTCCATCTGATGGTTCACTCCTCAATTGGCCACAATGCCCGGAGCTGTGCCAATCTGAAGCCAGGAGCCAGGAGCTTCTTCCCGGTCTCCCATGTGGGTGCAGGGGCCCAAAGCCTTGGGCCATCTTCTACTGCTTTCCCAGGCCATAGCAGAGAGCTGGATTGGAAGTAGAGCAGCTGGGACTAGAACCAGTGCCTAAATAGGATGCTGGTGCTTCAGGCCAGGGTGTTAACCCATTGTGCTACAGTGCCAGCCCCTTACTATTTCTTTTTTAAGGTTTTATTTATTTATTTGAGAGGTAGAGTTATAGACAGAGAGAGGGAGAGACAGAGAGAGGAGATCTTCCATCTGCTGGTTCACTCCACAAATGGCCACAACGGTTGGCGCTGGGCCAATCTGAGGCCAGGACCCAGGAGCTTCTGGCTCTCTGACACAGTTGCAGGGGCCCAAGCACCTGGGTCATCTTCCACTACTTTCCCAGGCTATTGGCAGGGAGATGGATTGGAAGTGGAGCAGCCAGTACATGAATCGGTACCCATTTAGGATGACGACACTGCAGGCTTAGCCTACTATGCCACAGTGTTGGCCTCTGCATGACTATTTCTTATAGTTATGTCTCAGCTAAAATATCCCCTCAGAGACTGTCTAAAATATTATAGGCTGGGTGCCTATATTACCAGTAGAATTGATTTCTAACAGTTCTTGAGGCTGGGAGTCTGAGATCAGTGTGTCAATATTGGCCAGTTCTGGTGAGAACCCTCTCCTAGGCTTCAAACTACTGCTTTTCCTTATGTCCTCATATGGATGGAAAAGAGCAAGAGAGATCTCTGGGATCC